GGGGTGGGGTGTGGAGGGGGGGGTGGGGGGGGGGAAGGGAGTGTTAAATCACCTAAAGCTGTTGGTGTCTGTCAGAGATCGGGTCCTGGTGGCAGTTTCTCGATCCTAATTCTTTCCGAGCAATCTGAAGACTTCCTCACACCCCCCCCCCCCAAATCACCCCCTCACCCCCTTGCGCCAAAGAAGAAGAGAAAAAAGGAAAATCCCCCTTACGTCGAAGACTTCAGGAATCCCAGCTTTCCTTTTGCCATGTTATGATCTAACACTGTTCTCTCTCTCTCTCTCTCTCTCTCTCTCTCTCTCTCTCTCTCTCTCTCTCTCTCTCTCTCTCTCTCTCTCTCTCTCTCTCTCTCTCTCTCTCTCTCTCTCTCCTTGCGAGTTCCGCATGTTGCCTTTCCTGCACTCTTCGAAGGGCAGACAACACCAAAAAGTCATATCTGTGTGTGTGTGTGTGTGTGTGTGTGTGTGTATGTGGGGGGGGGGGGGGGTCTGGCTTCTTTTTTTTTTGGAAGGGTAGGAAGGCCCGTCATGGGTTATGGTGAGTTAGACGTCGTGCATTTTTACCAACTTCACAAGAATCTCAACTGCTACCGGAGAATCGTAAATCTTTTTGTAAACCGTTTTGTGTGGGTGCAAGTGTTATGGCGTGTGGTATAACGAGAAAAACATTCTATGTATTTTGCCGGGGCTCAAGGTTGAAGTTTGTGTAGTTGTACGTGGCTTACGATTTTTTTCACGTCACGTTTCAGTTTGCGTGGTTTCACGTTCCTTAATGTGGGTGGTTGGCAGGTGCTCTAGTGTGGTTTGCTCATTCTTTCCTCTATCTATCAAACATCTATTTTTTTCTCTCCCCTTCTTCTTTTTTTTTTTTTTTTACTCCCTTTGAACACCTCTAATCTTCGGTACGTATATGACCTTATTGTGTTGCAAGTGCCGTAAAACTCATACGGAAAAAAAAATAAACGTTCCTTAATAACTGTTCGCTCTTTATTCACATCGATGTAGGTCGGCACTTTCAATAACTTACATGACCAAAATTGAGTCGATAGTGCCGTAAAACACCTACTCAATCAGTCAATGATGTAGGCCTTCTGACATCTGGCTCATTAGGAATCACTCGCCCTGATATCAGTGGTGTCGGTAGTCTGATGGTTATGCGGGGTGTCCATGGGGGG